TACAATAAAAAATCTTCTACTAATATTTAGAGAGTCATAAATATGTATTTCGTGCTGTAGACAGTGAAAATAGATTTGTGGGCTGTCAGGAGATATTATTCATTATTCACAATAAGTGTTCACTCTGTTCTTCTGTGGGTTTTCATTCACCACCATCAGACCTGAAGCAGCTGATTTTCCATCATTCACACTTTAACACTTTGTGTTTGTGAAACTCGACTTTAACCACCTCGTCTGTGGTGTTTTAAAAAGAAAAGAATTAAAGTTGACCTGGTTAATCCCGTAGAAGCAATGTGAAGTGATCGAACAGTTTCCGGTGATGCAGGCCTGTGGCACTGCATCGTATCGTTCAGACGTATGTGTTGGAGTCGCTCACTGTTGCCTGGTACAGATGTGTTCGCTCTGTGGTGTGATCTGAACCTGCCTGTCCTCTGCCATGTGTTCAACAGTGAGGAAACTGTGATTTGATGTTCTAGTACATTTTTCAAGCCATCAGATGGTTACACGCTGGAGTTTTATGATTTTCTGCTTCTCTTTGTCTTTTACCACATTAAACTGAATAATTTGTCTTATGATCTGTTGCTGAGTCAGAAAAACATTCAAAGACATCTTCCTGGACCTGAGGGAAATCGAGACCGGACATTCTGATGTTTCATAAACCAGATATTCTTTAGAAAATAGTCACAGATGAATAATGGAGTTGGTTCCTGTTATAATATTGAGACATGACACTGTTGTCTGGGGTTTGTACTATATATTTAAAACATAAATATTGATGTGGTTAGATAACAGGGTTTTTAGAATCGCCAAAATAGTCACATGAAAAGTGAATGTTTCTGTTTGTTAACAATTAAATTATCGAGTTCGGAGCCAAAAACAAAACAAAAGACAGATTTTACCAGATAAAGTTTAAATTAACATTTGTATTGTTTTGTTTACACACTGTGGAATTCATAGGAAATCATAGGATTTTAGTTGCAGCTGATGTTAAACAGTAAATCAGTCTAATGATGCAGCGGCACGTGAACAGCTCTCAACCTTAAACCCAAACTTTTCTCCTTCTGGTCTCTGTGACGGTTCCCGAGCTCCACCTGCATTATTTATGTTCACCTGAATATTAATCAGCAAAGAGCTCCCAAAGACCTAAACAGTGTTGACGGGATAAGTGGCGGTGGTGTTAACCATGTGATGCTGAGCTCCGCTCCATCACACGCACGCCGCCTCAGCTGGTTCACTTCCTTCCCTCTGCTCCCTGCAGCTGGTGGGGCTGCTGCTGATCGGAGTAGCAGCATGGGGGAAAGGCTTCGGCTTGGTGTCGAGCATCCACATCATCGGAGGGGTCATCGCGGTGGGTTTCTTCCTGCTGCTCATCGCCATCGTAGGACTCATCGGAGCGATTCACCACCACCAAGTGATGCTTTTCTTTGTATCCTTCCACACGGAACAACAGAGGTTTAATATGATTGTAATTGCGTTGCGGCTGTGTCGTGTTCCTCTGTTGCTTCTTTGACTCCTCCTCCTCAGTACATGGTGATTCTTTTCATCGTTTTCCTCTTCCAATTCGGAGTTTCCTGTTCCTGCTTGGCGATGAACCGCGGGCAGCAGGTGAGCAGACCCGCCGTCACCGCAACCACGTCCAACAAAATCACAGACTGTAAATAAAGATGGAGGACATGAAGTGAAGCCAAAACATCCAGATCGCCCCCTGGTGGCTGGCTGCGCTAAAGGTCACAATCCCTGCCTCCTCCATGTTAGCAGATGCGACATGGACCAAAAACCCGTCCATATGCAGGATGTGGGACATTTTTGAACAACGGGAATAAGTGGAGTCACGTCGTCCATCTTTATTTACAGTCTATGATAAAAACATGTTCATATTTGCTGTTAGATGTCAGTTTATTATCAGTATTTATTGTCTTCTGTCTGTCCTTTGCAGGAGGCACTTCTTAACTCCACATGGGGAATGTTGCAAAACAAGACCAAGACCGACCTGGAGAGTCAACTGAACTGCTGCGGGCTGCTCAACTTGACCACCAGCCGCGTACAGTTTGAGCAGGACGTGCAGAACTGTCCAGCTGTAAGTCTTAAATGTCGAGTTATTATTCGTTGCATCCGTCATGAAAGAAAAACTGCTCTTTTCCTTTAACCCTTCAAGAAGACGAATAACCAGTTCCCTAAAACCTAAGTTTGAAAACAACTTCCTGAATCCTGACGGTTTCTAAAGAGCTGACAGAATTTACAACACTTACAAAAACTTTAATTTCTCAGCCTCTGTCAGACCTGAAACAAAATACAAAGCATCATCACAACGTCTGACTTTTCATTTGCATTGTAGATAAACAGATTTGTGGTTTTTCTCCTGCAGACTCCGTTGAAAGGAGGCCGCTCTCTCTCGCTCTCCCTGCGGTTCTCAGAATAGATTTCGGGAGCTAAGCTCGGCTCACAAACAGAGTTGACTCATGCTGCTCGTGACTAAAGGCCGTTTCCTTTTCTTTTTTTGTCCGTCAATCCAGTTTTGCAAAAAGGACAGTGTCTGTTACTCCTGTGGGGATAAGATGCTGAATCATGCATCAGAGGCTCTGAAGATCCTCGGGGGCGTCGGGCTCTTCTTCAGCTTCACAGAGGTGAGCGTCCTCAGACACACATCTTTTTATCGTTCACTCATTTTATCATTCAAGTGTGAGAGTGCAGCGTAAGGTTGTTATTACAATAATATATGTATACTTAATAAAACTGGAGGGCGCAGAGCAGCGGTGGAATGTGCACACACGCTCGCTTCAGCTTTATTCTTGACGTCAGCGGTTTCAACCGGAGTCCTGCCCTAAGTTCTGATTGATAACGTCATGTCGGACTTCACCGGCTGATAAATCGAGAATTTAATTCTGGAGAAAGTAAAAAAAGATTCTCCTCCTTTCACGGCTCCTCCTGTAGCTCCACCCCCTTAATTCATGAACGCACATCGCCAAGGCAACAACACTAACATCTTGGCTCGCTAAACAACAGAGTCATTTGGAGGAATCCATTGTTATTGCTGTTACAATTACTGGAGTTAAGTTTTCTGAAATAACAGAACCGGTGTGCGCTCTCTGTTCACTCTGCTGCACTGGTCTTTATCAGGATCAGTTCTCTGAACAGTGACGCCTCGTTACAAACGTGGTGAGACACTAGTTGGAGCGCACTGGAGAAAACGCTCGACCGTCCTCGTCCTTGCACGCGACGGGAGATGCCAGAGTTGAGGTTGCTCCCGTTGTTGCACGGCATCATTTCAACCGGTCGCGCACCCTCCAACTTATTTAACTTGCCGCACGCGGACTAACCCAAACGTGGGTCCGCTGGAGGAAAGAGGCCGTGAACAGGTCGGGCTCTAAAGACGTCTGTGTGCAGAGATCTGTCGACGGCTCCTGGAGGGAGTTTACAGACACTGTTAGTAGAGATGAGACATTCTGCGAGAAATTGCGAAAAAAAAAAACTCTGCCACTGATTCGTCAAGGCAGAGACGCACAAGCCCGAAGCGGAGCAAACAAACCGCTCTGTGTGTTTTCTTTGTTTCTCTCCGGGGTGGTGTCTCACGCCCCGAGGGTAGAAGAGAGAGGTGTTGTGTCACAGTTGTTGTAAGAAACG